CTCTGGGTGACTACCTTTGGCATGACCCAGCCATACCCTCAGCTTGTCAGAAGCTATTTACATCAAATAACACCAAACTTTCACAGAAAACACAAAGCAAACAGGAGCCCTTCAAGCACCTGCTGTCCCAAAATGACAGTGAACAATGTAGGATTAAGTATTTCATAAAAATAAGCATTTCATTAAAATTTTATAATTTCCCTTCCATTCTGGGAAATGGGTTTTAATTAAAAGCTATGAGGCACAAGTACAGGGTGAAAGGCAGAACTAATATCCTCAGGAGAATAACAAATACAAGGAAGAAATCATTTCCTAGGGAAAATCTACAATCACGGTAATACCGCAGCCCTCAGCTTCCCCCATCGATGACATCCTCACTCTCAAAAGGCACCATTCCTCTAAGTTATATTAGAGTTTTGCTGCATCTTTGTTTTTAAACTGTCGGGATGGGTTTGCTGCAATCTACAGAGCAGCTTGAAGTCATTTTTCTATCAGAGCAATGCCAGGCCCATGATTGAGCCCTTACCTACATATGTCAAGAACAAATTGCCCTTTGTGGAATGCTAACCAGGAATGCTATTTACAAAGGAATTGTGAGGATGTGGAGTTATGTTATAACTCAGAAGAAAATTGCTGAGATGAAGTGGGAGAAGGACAAAATAACCATGCTTGGAAATAAGTCAGCTACCCTAAGTAGAGCTCTTCTTTCTATCTTTTTCCTAGCCCTGACTTTATAGAGTGTTTTTATTTAGTAGAAATGTATTTAAAAAGCACATTTATTCTGCAAATTCTTGTTATACTTCTCAGCTATGCAGCTCTGGAAAGGTAATTGTCTACTGCCTTTATGACCATGTTTTCCTGACCTGTGTATCCCCAAGTTCAGAGCAGCAGTAACACTTGAGATGTACGCATTGAGGAGGACGCGTGCTTGTTTCACAGATGCCACCTTGTTCATTCTCAGTGGTTCAGAGTCTAGATCTCTTATGTAAAACAGACAGTTTCTTTTTGGAAAAGAAAAACCTTCTCTGAAGATGTAGAAGAGAGTTGGTGCAGATTATTTAAACCACAAGATAAACAAATGGCCTAAGCCTATTCCAGAACTGTATTTTTTGCTAGAAAGCTTTTAAACAACCCTAATCTCTTTGAAAATATCACTAAGCCAAAGGCTTGGAAGTCTGTGCATGACGAAGTATTTTAACTAGTAGCATGTGGATTATAGTTTAGAAATTCGTGTAATAATCATCAGCTATAAAAACTAACTTCCAAATTCATTTTAACTGCCATATTTAATGGAATATATCTCATATAAAGAATATATCTTTTATATCTCATATAAGCAATGAAGGAAAAGATTAGGTGTGTTCTGTAACAGACTCATCATAAAAGTAGAAATAGTAACTTTAAGATCACTTCCTTGAAGAGAGAAAAGGGTTTGGGAGGAAATGGACTAAAACAAGTATCTGTGAAGCAGATGGGCAAATTTCCATGAGAAGAAATCATACAGCACTAGGAAGACCCATTTCAAAGTCATTATTACAGAAGGTATCAAACCTGAAGGTATTCCACTGTGCAGCATCCTTGAAAGAAGGCTGCATTGCAAACTTGATTCTGCAATTTTTTCCTTAACACCTTGGACACAGATGTATAAAAAGTATTGGAGTCAGTTCTGCCTTGTCAATGCTTCCTTCAAATTCTACACCAGCAACAATTCCACAGCTCACCATGAGACCAGAATTTGACTGCATCCTTCAATGCTAAAGTATGACTAATAGTTGGTTTTCACCTTTGTACCCTTCAACCATGCAGTGGATTAACATATCAAAATATGAAACTAACTTCTGGCAGGTAATACAATTCATGTTCCCACGGAAAGTTACTGATACCAGTTACCTGCTTCAAGACCCCATCTTTCTAACTCTTTTTAAGAGCCAAAATGTATCCTAAAAAGTCAGCAAGTATTCCCCTGACAGGGTAACTCGCATTCTTCAGAGCATTCAGCAGTGACTGAGGAATGTTTTACCTTCAATTCTAAACACATTCTAAATTGTAATCTGTTCTGGAGAGATCTCCATGTGATGAAAAAGGAGCTTGTTGCCCTTTTCAGTTTATAATGTCACCAGAAATTAAGTCTGTTTAACAGATGTGGAATTCATCATTTCAGTCTTTAACTTGCATTAGAAAGTCACCTTTTTGATAACTGATCCCACTGTGTGTTGTATATACTGCAAGTACCAAAGGAATTCACATAAAAACAAGTCTTCCTCAGATGAAAAGGATGCACATTCCCCATATAATAACTGAAGAGTCAAGTCTCCTAAGACCACATTTCTAAGCAATTTATCAAAGTAAAATCCTTGCAAGCAAAATAAAGTGAAAGAAAAAATACTTACACTCTAAAACCTGGATCTTCAGCAGATAAGAGTAACTCTGTTTTATCTGACCCATCAAGGCTCACTAGAGTTAACAGTAATCAGCCACTTCTCACAGCCCAACATCATTTCAAGAGCCCATTTAAACACTTTAAGAGAGACACCTAATAAATATTGAAGTCTTTTTCTCAGTATTCACTTTTACTCTGACAAGTGCCACTGGACAATAACCCACATTTTGTTGCAGAGAGAAGTCTTAAAATATCCCCCCATCACACTCGGGCAATGAGAACAACTGTTTCCCCAGGTTCCTTAAAAATAAGGTGGACTCACGTTACACTTCTTGTAACTGAAAATATATTCCAGTAACATACAAAGTGACCGTGATTAAACTAATGTTGGTATTCCAAATCAATTTCCTTTACACAAATTTACAATACAAGAATTCATTAAGGCAGGAGGAAGCAGGTCTGATATATGAAATAATATTTACCTAGAAGCTTTAGCCAAGATCCTTGAATCCAACAGCAAATTAGTTCCTTTCTTCTACTCCACTGCATTTCATTTACATATATACCAGGCCCTTTCATAATAATACCAATTCCCTCAGCATATTGAAATAAACATTAATTCAAAAGAAACACATCAACATGCAGATTCCCAGACTGAGCAGGGGGAAGAACAGAAATCAGTGCCCATCAATCCCCACAGACTTACAAGTTCCCAAACTGCGATCAGTCATGAGCTTAAACTACAAACAAAAATGCTACAGTTTCTTACCAAGCCACGAGGCAATTCCAGGAAGTGCTCACGACTTTTCCAGACAAATGAGAACACTTACCTGATTTTTCACCATTCCCTTATTTTCTCCTTTTCTAATGAAAGGAAACACAAACAGAAAAAGGCTTGATCCAACTCTCAGTTACATTAGTTCTGCAGTACTGTGTCACTGTCTAACAGCGTCGCAGTACCATGGCACATGTCTAACAGCTTCAGTCAGGCTGTTCATTTACTTAAAGTTAGGGACCAGCTGAAGAGCTGGAATCTACAGGAAGCAGAAGGAGACTCAGTTTTAAACCTAAAGATCCATTCATATTGAGGGAATTCCATGACAGTCATCAACATTATCAAGCTCATCATTATTTTGTTTTTCTTAATTCTGTGCCCTGTGATCAATTCTTTGTTTTTGACCAAATTAGAAAGAAATCAGAGTAGGAGCTGAGGCAGCTCTCACATTGAATAAGCTGGGCACTCCACCGAAATCAGTGGGAGCGAACTCCAGCTGACATAAACCTCTCTGGGACCACTGAAGTTAATCAAGAGCCCACCACTTGGAATCAATTCATTTACTCCTACTAAAATCAATGATGGTACTCAATTTACAGCCACTGAAGAAGTGATGTCATGTTATATACCAAATAAAACAGAAAAATGGGATATGCTTGTAGGAAATTGTCGGGAGGGGAGCCCCAGGACTTTATATAAACATGGAGAGCCTGAAGCTGGTGTAGCTGTTCAGAATACAAGGTGGGCTTGATTTTGACTGTCCTTTTCCCAGGCTCAAGGACCATTGAAGTGACGAAGCTTTTTCCCTATATCTGTCTTCAAAGTCAAAGCTTGCATAACACGAAGATACTACAGGCACTCGTATCACCTCCATACAAAACTAGGAGGGCACCTGTGCAGGTAGGCGGCAGGAAGCTCAAACTCCTGAGGGCAGCTCAGAGCAGGAGTCAGGTGCTAACGAGGCTTTAACCCTCAGGAGGAGGAAATGCCCCTCTCTTGCCCTGTTCCCTTTTCCTTTATGACTGTAAGATTGCAAAAAGATGTGAAAGCTACTCCTAAGATTTTGGCTGTACACTTCTGTGCCCCTTCTAGTTACTTACCCCTCCTGTAAGGAGTTGTACAAGGTGTTAGTGACAGGGACTCTCACACCAGTCTACACCATGCATTAGAGTTTATGAACTATTTTACCTAGCCCAGTAATTTAGTATAAACAGGAAACTAAGTGTTGCAGCTGTACACAAAAGAAACACAAGCACGATGCCTCCCCAGTCTCTCTCATTACTTGCCCCAGTTTTTCCCAGCTCAGTCTAATCCACACCATTCTTCCCATTGCCAGAGGTAACCACCTCTGCCTCACGCCTTTACCTTCTCCACGGTAGCAAAGAGAGGAAAGCATATGGCTGCTTTTAGGATTCACACTACTCCTTTTTCCCATTCCAGCTGGGCCATTCCGCACTTGCTGCCATCTCTGTTTCTGTGATTTCTTTGTGCCTAGCACAGCGATGTTGTTACAATCCTGTAAGACATGGCTTTCCTTAAGGGTTTTCATTTTCTGATTTACAGGAGTGTTTTCAAACTCCCAGAAATTGTTGTAATAATTTGAATCCCTGGCAAAAATACAATATTTCCTCAACAATTTATCATTTAGATCTTTTGCTCCTTACTTCTCTGGAAAGAGAAGAAAGGATGATGGGTATTCAGGTTATCTATTAGTTAATAATTGTCACTTTTCTTCTCAGACAAGTGTGAAACCATCTCTTCTCATAAAAATCAAGCTCTACTTGAATTATGTTTCCAGAATAACAGCAAGGTTTGTATATACACGTTAGTGGAATAATGTCAAAGTTCAATCATACACAGAATTTATTAGATTTTGGGTTATTCTTTCCCTTGAATTATTCATTGACTATCTATAATTTCCCAAAGAATAATTTCATAAAGCGCTGCAGCAATAAAACTCTCCATATATTAGCACACCAATGTGGATGGTATTTATGACGTACTCAAAGAAAAATCAGCCTGTTACATTAATCATGTGAAAGTATTGAAAAATTATCTTTAATCATTTCTATTTGAAAACAAAACCTGCTCAGAGCTTTAAAACGTGCATGAAACCTGCAATTACATTTCATACAACATTTCCTGCAACAATTTACATAATTATTCAATACTTCCATGTTTGTCTGGTGTTCAGTAATCTCTTATCTCATTTTCTCTGAATTGTGAGTTGTATTCAATCTTCTTTATTTAGCAAGTTTTGCTTAGAACACTCCAGATTCAACAAGGAGAAACAGTGAGACACATAAAGCCCCATCCTTTGATCACAAGAAGCTGAGCAGCAAAACATCTCCTTCCTGAAACCCAGTTCAGATTCTGAGGACCACCAGAACCCTAACACAGCTTTGAGTACCTTGTTCTTATCCCAGCCTCTGCAATGAGAAGCCCCTTTGCAGCCTTTGTGCCACTTAGGGGTGGGAACAGTGTGTTCTTACAGACTACCACAGGTTTTCTTCAGGACCATGTGTAAGGATGATTGTCCATTCAGCCACTGGATGAAGGAATCAGAGGTGTTGCCTCCTGGAGTTTACCACTAAAAGTGTAGTGACGTGAACTGTAAGCAGCATTAGTGAGATCAGAAAGTTCTTTTGAATGCCACCCAGTTAGAAAACAATTTTTTCCCTATATTTGACTTCTGAGAGCACTGAACCACAGGTATTTCCACTTGAGCTGTCTGTCAATTAAACTTTGCAGGCATTGCTACACTCCGCCTGTCCAAAATCAAGAGAAAGTCAAGTCTGAAGACACAACCTGCTCTTCAGTAGGCCAAAAAGCCAGAGTTCTGCCTAGTACTTCCTGCAGACTCAGAAGCACCGTAAGCCAAATCATGCTAACACCTTCCAGATGTTTGAAAAGCTAAACAGGGTTTACCGATACTCCTAGTTTGTGGATTATGAACTAAAATGGAAAATGAAAGAGGATGATTCCTAATGAATCAGAATATAGAGCCACAGAGGTTTAACACTGTCAGCACTGAAGTAACGTTCCATAAAGTCAGTCCTTGGAAAGCTGCAATCTGCAAATAAACAAACATGTACTAAATTAGTTGTTGAAAATACAACGCCCTTAGGAACTCTAACAAGCCAAGCGTTTGTATATAGAATATAGAAATACAAAGATACATAAATAAAGCTTTTTTCAGAATGTTAGGTCTCCTGCAAAGAAAGCAAAGAATGAACAATTGGTATAATACTGACAAGCTCAGCTTATAATTTTGACCATTAATGACTTATTTCAAATAGCTCAGACTCCTGCACATGAGCCACACTGTAGTGTTTCAGCTGATTCTGATTCTCTTCGTGCAGAAACCTTTTAGCTAATCATTTTCATCTCTGTGTGTCAATAAATCTTGCATCTCTGGGGCAATGACTTTTACTCAGCAAATGTTAAGCAGAAATAAAACCACCCAGAACAGTCTAAGCATGAGAATTTCAATAAGAATTTAGCAATATATTGATCCACTTCTCCCCTTTCTGACTTTTCATTACTGTCACTTTCACCTCCTGAATTCAATAAGATAAAAAGCTAAAATAATATGTGACTTACAGACTTTAGCCAGCCCTACTGAAATGATTTTTTAATTCTTTTATTCCACAAGAGCAAACTTAAAGAAACATTTTATAATACTGAAGGCACTAGAAAATGGTCAATAATCTATTCTTAAAGGGAAGAGTTGGCAGTCACGGGCTAAAGTGAATGACCTCTTCTATAAATACACAAAAGACATTAAAAGATAAAAGATTAAGATATGCAATAGTAGGAAAACAAAGTCTGCGATGAAAAGCCATGTTTCTACGGGTTTAGGAATGAAACATATTATGGGCCGTACATCTCCTCTTCCTTGGAAGCCAGTTGACAAAGTATTTACATCTTACACTGTTGCTTAAATAAAGTAAAATTAAGTTAATGTAACTCTTGTGTTATTATCTATAAGCACCTACCATCTAAAAGCCGCTTGGATATGCCAAATCACACTTCCTGCACACCAGTTGAACAAATGCTATTTTCACTCTCCTAAAATTTATCAACGAGAATTAGAAGATAACCAGTAGTCACAAAAAAAAAAAAAAAAAGATTGAAAACCCATCCTACCATCAAAAACAGTCATTGAGAAACTTCTCACTAATCTTATTCTCAAAGCTTGAATTCTAGCACAAGCAGATGGTAGAGATACTCCGACCCTTCCGTTCTAACGTGTATGTACGATAAACAGTGCTGAGCATCAGTTCTTCCTTAAGTTCACAAGGCAGGTAATTTTATATTTCTATGATCATCATGACAACTGGTGAATGTCCATCAACATTCCATAGCCATTTATTCTTACAGAACCCTGTGAGAGGCTGAGACACACATCAGTGAATGAATGTGCCAACATGTTGGGGAAAATCACCATGCATGTAGTACTGTGCTCTCATTCAAACGTATTGAGTACAGGTGGATTAATGCACAGCTGAATTAACAGTGACTGCCAGAGGAAATACAGTAGTTACTGTAGAGTGTCACAGAATGAGCTGTTAAAGAATTTTAAATAATGTTTACTGATAAAAATGTCATAGAAAATAATGGAAATCATTGCCTTAGCAACAAAAAAATCATACAAGTCAGCACATCCATCTTCGTTTTTCTTCATTTCTATTTCTCACCATTGTAATAACTCACATTATCCCATCATATAGGAAGCAGTCAAGAACTGTTTTCTTTAAAAACAAAAGCACAAGAAGTCTGATCCAGATAAACAGAAGTTAAAGACTACAAAATCAAGAATCTTTTTTTACCAGTAGAACCCATAATCTAAGCAAAGAGGTGTCTTTTACCACCTATTTTTGGCCTATAACTACCTCTCTCTGGTTTATAATCAAATTTCTTCTGTCAAAGCTGTTATTCAAACCATACAAGCCTCAAAAAGAAAAAAACCCAACAAAATAAAACCTATTGAAGTCCATGCTATATATTTATTTAATATATAGCACAGCCAACCCAATATTACATACATAATTGTATCTGATCTGCTGGCCAACTCACTGCTTGTGGTTCCTAAGATGCAGTCTCGCAGACTGATGTGGTTCTTTTCAAAGCACTAAACCAGTTTGTTGTCATTGTGAAAAGGAAGCACACAGACAACAGCTGGTTCATAGAGCCACATGAATGGGCCACTCTGCAGCTGATGCAACTGCTAGTTCTAGGAAAGCTGGTGCAATTGGACTGGTTGAGTTGATCTGAAGATCTGCCCCAAGGCAGATGTTATCGATTTCAGTGCAGTGACATGGACTGGCATTAGCTGGAATCTGATCACAAGAATCCATGCACTGATTAGTATAAATAAGTTTCAGACTCTGTTTATTTGGCTGAAAATATATTCAAACTCTAAAGAGTTGGAGAACACACGTGGTATCCTCCTGTTGCACATCCGTCCTTCATCCTCTTAAGTCATCTGCTCCTGTCATATCTGTGTGTGCAAACACAGACTGTGATTCCTTACCTTCTTTCAGAATCTCCTGAATCAGTTAACTGGAAAACAATTAACAAAGCTTTCTGTCAGTCATTAACAGCTATGTTAACACTTCTCTAGAGGCCTTTAGAGTATCCAGTCTGTGTTTGCTCTGAGCTGAGTGAAATGCAAATCATTAGTACTTATTTCTGCTTGCTCCTCCACAGTTATTCAAACCACAAGGGCTTCAGGACATCCACTTCACTGAAGAACTGCACAGGACAATGGATCAGAGAAATACGACTGGGCAGCAGTTCTCAGCAGGTTTTGCAGGCACAAAGCTGGGCCCAAACTCATAAACTATAAATCCAGTGAAGCTGTAACAGGAGCAGTGTGACTGACTGACTGTGCCCCAGCACAACTTCCCAAACAGATGATGAGTTCTGGGACAAGATCTGTTTTCTTTCCCCTTTAGAGCAGACCTACCAGAGTGGTATCATGATGCAGGTGTTACACTCCTCCATATTCTTCCTGCAAACACTGAAAAAAATGGTAATGAAAATAAATCAATTTGACCATTAAATGAAGTCTACACTCCAAAATGTGGAAAGCGAGTCCGAGGTAAAAGGGCTATTTGTAACCATGTTACCAAACCTTAGAAGTAAAATTAACAGTATTCATAATACTCTGTGTATTTTGTGACAATGGTATCACTTTGTTTCCCAAAGGACAGAGGACATACCTGAAGGTGTCCAGAATGCACCATAATAAAGTCTTACATAGCAAAGCAGCCATTGGAAAAATTATGTTGTGCTATTATAGGCAATTTTTGCCAGCAGTGTGCCAGTTTAAACAAAGCTGCATTCAGGACTTGCTTTTGAAAGCGCATTGCTTCCTATCCTGAGCTGAAAACAAACCACAGCATTCAGAACTTCCTACAGACTGAAAATTACAAGTTTGTATCAGCTCCATTCTGCATAAAAACACCAATTCAGTACTGACCCCGATCTCCCACACCTATTCCTACATAAGCTTCAGTAACAAAAACAAGGTTTGTATGCTACAGCCAACCAAAATGTTAACAAACCGACTCTGTAAGTTGGCCTCATCCTCGCCAAGCATCACTTTCATCATGCCATAAACGTTTATCATGTTTGTCCTAGCAGAACATAACACTTCAACAGAATGCATACCAACAAGGTCGTTGTGTACGTATTCAAGAGGGTTCCCTGGGGCACTTTTTCTGCAGCACTTCACGCAAATCTGTATTCTAGTTCATTGATTTAGGCAGATACCTGCCTAGAAAACACCAGTAATGGTTTTATTAACTCAAGATAGAAATGAAAAAATAGGCTTGGAGCTGCTTTGTGTTTAAATACCAACATGAGTGTATTTTCCATCTTGTCTGGTATAAGTTTTTTGGTTTTCATAATACTTTATTCTGGAAGTGTCAGAAGAAAGAAACAGATTCCAGTATCCCAATAATTTTTTTATTACACGGGTGACATGGTGCCCACAAAACTTCACGTAAGTACGTGATAACACTGAACGTGTCTGTCTCAAATAAAAGCTCAACTCACCACAGAGTTCTGAGTGCCTCAAATATTTTTCAAGGTCATACCATAAATTCGTAAACTTTACCATAATGAATGTCCCAATAATGTGAAGTTTGAGGCAGAGCCTTTCACAGATCTCTCCCATAGCGTCCTCATATAATAAAGGGAAATTGTGTAATTAGTGGTGACAGTGGACTTCTTCAAAAGGTAATATTAGCTCTGGTCTCAGCAAGAGCCTGCACTTTATTAGCTGCAGTTCAGATGCATGAGCTACAAAGTCTGCTTGTTCACTCCCTGTGTGTGTCCCTTCTAAGATTAGGAACAGGAACAATCTAATTAGAAATAATCCTGCCAAGAACAAATATTAAAGAAGAAGAGCTAGAATAAAAAGCTGCCGGATGAGCCCGTTAACTATGATGTGGACTGTGGCCTTACCTCAAGCAAAGGATGCTGCGTTAGTCCATTTCACAACTATTTGTTGTTTGTACCTTTTAAAAATATTGTGCTATTTCCTAAACATAAGCCTGCTGTTTGTTAAAAATACAGGCTACAGTTTCAATGCACACAATATATTTAACACTGAGTAAACGGAGCTGCAGAGAAGAAACGAGCTTTGGTTTATGTAATGTTGTTACCTAATCTCTAAGTCTCATAATGGGAAATAAAGTGCCTTTTATGAGGTTGTAGTCCCTCCAGTTATTTGGTAATAATGACTGACCAGGCAGTGTTTGAAAGTAAAGCCAGGTTTTAAGTGAGCCAGAATCAGAGCTCTTTGGAGATTACCACTGGAGATCAAAGTCAGCAACAAATGCCCAGAGCCGAGCAGAGAATGTCAGGGTTGCTGTCTTAGTTCTGAGTTTTACATGGTTCCTTGTTAATTAAGATTCAACAGACCCGTTAGCTGTGATCTTTGGTGTATTCCACACCTGAATAATATTTCCTGACATTTAAGTCAAGCTAAAACTGAGTGTCTTGGTGACAGTAATGAACTGTATACTCAGATCTATATTAAAATAAAGATTCCTAGGTTGTGTTTCCTAAGTTTCTTTGCCAATGTGGAGGTAGCAGCAGACTGAGCCTTTTTTAAGATATTCCCATGCCTTGTTAAAACATGTCAAAATTCAAATTAAAATTGAACTTATCAGGGTAAAGAGAAAATGTAGAACCTTGTAACATCTGTATTTTATTTCCTATATTCTAACGTAGTCTTTCTGCAAGTAGTACAAAATAAATTTCACTCTATTTAATACTGAAAGGTCTGGGAATTGTGAGAGACGAAAATTCAGTCCAGCAAAACCTGCTACTTCTATAAAGGCATAGTTCCTGTTTCCTATTATCATAATAGAACAAACCCCAGAACATCAGGTTATTTCTTTGTCCTTTATAATTCAGCGTATCGGTCAGAAATACCTCAGAGAAACAGGTTTATGTGATATTCTCAGGTGGTGAAAAGGAGACCATTGCTTTTAAATCCTCACACTAGGCTGGTACTAAAGCAGCAGATAAATGAGAGGTAGGAGAAATGTGTCCAAAAGCCACAATCATATTGCTGTATTAATTTTCCCAACAAAATATAAGCCATTCAACTGCAAACTCGGGAATAACAGCTTACTCAGCAAATATGTCAGGCTACCTGCCAGCTGCTGAGTCACAGCACAGTGTTGGTGCCACACGTTCCTCACAGCAGCTGAATTCTCATCAGACTCTGCAGTATAGCAGGAAACTATCACAGTCAAAGGAGAAAGACAAGTATGTCTGTGTAGACAGTGACATTAAAATCAGACACTTCATTAACAGGCCTAACCAGCTAAGCAGAATGAGACCCGCAAAAATGGGAACATAGCATTTCTGCAGGTGCCTCATTTTTTGGGTTATCAAGGGTCAAATTCTGTCCATTTCATTCCTAAGCAAAACCACTCAAATCAGCAAAATGAAGCATATGCTACAGTTAAGAATATTGTTAAGTGCCACCTATGGAACGCTGCTTGCTGTAACTGAAGCAAATACAGAAGCTGTGCTTGCCAGCTTGCATGATTCACGAAGATTAGATTTATGTATTGATGGTCTCCTAACAACAGAGAAGAAAAATGTAAAATCCCAACTAATTAATATTTGACATGTTTTAAAAAGAATGCATATAGGAAAATTCAAAGGGTTTCTAATTTGTGAGAGGGAGAGACTTACTAAAAATCAAAAGAATTGCACTTAGATTTTTGATTTCATAACAAAAAATCCTGCCCTGCAACTGAAGTGCTTTGTAATTTCCCATGGAGAGAAAAAGCTCCTCTTCCAATTAGATGTTCTCAGCCTTGCACTGACTCTGCCACTCATTTGACCCTCAGTGAGTTGATTCAGCTCTCAAAGCCAGAAGAAAAATACTGAGGGCTTTTTGGGGGGTTACTTTTCTCCTCACTTAGCCAGATGAATCAGCTTATGGTAGTGTCAGATGAGCAGCTGAGACAACACAGGGAAAATGAAGGGAGGAGCACAGTGGCTCAGGCTTAATACAGGATTTAATACAAAACATGTATCACAGAAACCTATGCAGGAAAATATCTGAGGATTTTTCATTTCTCACAATTTGTTATCACCCCTAATTTCATCTCTGCTTCCTATGGTCCCTAATAGCAGTGCATGTTGTAGTTTATCACATTCCACTTTTCCACTACTAGCACCTAAAGTGCTCCACATCCAGCCTGGACAATAAAGGTTTGCTGGAATGTTGAATAAAAGTAACAGTAAGCCTCGCAGTTATGATCATGAAGAAGGTTCTTATCCTGAGGAACCTTCCCAAAGCAAGTTCTTACCAGCCTTCTGTAGCTTCTGTCCTCTTCATGAGTATAAATTACTGTTACTTAAAGAGATTGAGATGTCCTACCCATTATTCACTGCAGAGACTGAAATTTTGACTAGCAAGATCTAAAATCCCTTGGTCACATTATGTTTATTTGTTTCCTCCTCTAATAGCAGGCATCATATCTTAAGTTAATGCCAGCAAAGTTCATCTTCAGGAAGCAATATAAATTTTAGCTAAGAAAACAGTGTGACCATAACACCATCAACTGCTCACTTAGGGAACACAAAGGAGTAAGATGAACACAAAAAGCAGAATTGTGACCAGTATTCTGAGGCCCAAAGTTCAGATCTACCTCCAGTCTATCACAAGACTAGATTTAATAAATGTCAGAGACGTTTTAGCCACAAAGCAGATATTTTCCTTTGGACTCTCTGCTCAGTGCATCTCAGAGCTGCTCTAGAAGTTAAACTTTATGTAATGAGCAAAATCAGAATTCAAACAGCTCACTGCCCTGATCCTGATCTAAAATAGCATTTAAAAAGAAGTGGGAAATTAGAAAGTGCTACAGAGTGTCAGCCAAATGAAGAGAGATCTGTATCAGAAATTAGTTTTTAAAATAGTTTTCTTGCCACCTAGATCCACAGTTCCATTACTTTTTGTATCTGCACTAAACAGAGACTAGCCTGAAAGAAAGTTAACGGGTTTATGCTAAAATTGTGGCAATGCCTGTATTAGCACTCAAACTGGATTTTCTTTAATTGGGTTTTATAAAATACATGCACAATGGTGAGAGAAAAATAAATCAGTCATATAAGGAAAAACTTTCCTCTGTTATCATACAGTCCTAGTACTCTCCAGCTGCACTATCAAAAAGTTCAAATATGTTCAAATTACTCTCTCACATCCAGTCTGTTCAGGACAAAATGCTGCTGTCTTTCCTTTCATTCCTCCTGCTTATTTTGGGATCCAGCGTACCTACGTCATTTCTCAAGCACGTACGGGTTATGCAGCTCAGCCTCTACAAATAACAAATAACTAAGGTGCTTTACTTTCAAAGATGTGTCATGAGCTGAAGTTAGAAGCCTCTGGCAAATTTAGTTGGTTTTATTAATGAAAATTTATAGCTTTCATTGTGAAACATTTTCTCTATGACCAGACATAAGAGTAACCTTAACTGGAAGCACTCC